AAAAGCGAGTGCGGACAGGGGCTGCCTGCCCCGGCGCTGCCTGACTGCCTGCCATTCTTTGGGGCTGGCACCAGCTCCCCCAGCCTCCCCACTTTGCCCTGGCCCCATTGCCAGGGTGAGGTGGTCCCCACACCCTGCCCTGTCTGGGCACGCTGGCTCCGCTCCCACCCGGCCCCCAACTTGCCTGGCCGGAGCCCTGGGACCACCAGCGCAGCAGGGAGCCAGGCCCACCCCAGGCTCTGGGGTTGGGACTGGTCCCAGGAGTGCCGCCCAGTCCCCCCAGTGTCTCCTCCACCCAGGGGAGTAGCTGTGGGGCAGCTGGGGCTGATGGTGCGCCGTGTCCGCCAGCGTGGCTGCCGCTCTCCCCGCTGAGCAGCCTGGGGAAACTGAGGCACACGATGGCTGGAGGGGCACCGGGGAGTGTAGGGCAGGGCATCACAGGCTGCAGAGTCCCCTGCCTTGCACCGCGAGGAGGGCAGGCGGCCAGGCCCCCCTGAGGCAGCCGGTGGCGGCAAGGGCTGGAGACACCACAGCAGGAGCAGGAAGGTCAGGGAGAGCGGCTGGGCCCCGCGCCGGGGATTAGTGCTGTCCTTGCTGCGTCACGCGGCCCCCGAGCTCATCCCCTGCCTAATCCCCTCACCCCAGGTGGCTGGCCGGCACCGGGCAGGGGCACCTGTCCCCCTCCGGCCCTGCCCGGGCTGGGGGGGGGAAAGAGGTGCCCCTTTGGCTCCACCATGCCTCTCGTGGGGCTCAGCCTCTCAGCAGGGCACCTGGCCTGGCTTGACCCTGTGTTGAAACAGGGAAGAGGGGGTCGCGGTGCCCCCGCTATGGGCAGTGCTAGGAGCTGGCAGGGAAACCAAGGCACCGGGGTTGGCGGCTTGCAGTGCCACACTGGAGCCGTGCCATGGCTGCAGTAGCGCAGGCAGGGACGCTAGGCACCGGGGCACAGCAGGCAGAGGTGCCCGCTGGCAGCGGTGAGGCAGGAGGTGTCTGAAACCCCCAAGTTTGCTCAGTCCCATGGGATTTTGGGGTGGGCAGCACATACCTGTGGGGCAGCCTGGCCCCCGTGGCTGATCCCAGCCCACCACACAGCAGGGCGGCAGCACCGGCAAGGCCAGGGTGCCTGCTGCGCCCCACCACCTCAACCCCACCGCTCTCCTTTCCCCGCAGGGTGCCAGCCCCGCAGGCAGCTGGTGACACAGGATGGTGCTGGTGCTGGCGCTGTGGGCCTGCCTGGTGCTGGGCATGGCTGATGGGGAGGGCCCGGCACCAGAGCCCCTGGTGGGCGACCAGCCCTTTGCCGTGGTGTGGAATATCCCCGCCAGCCGCTGCCAGCGCCGCTTTGGCGTGGGGCTGCCCCTCAGCGACTACGGCATCGTGGAGAATCAGGATGGCCGCTTCGCAGGCCAGAACATCACCATCTTCTACAAGAACAAGTTTGGGTTGTACCCCTACCTGTCGCAGCAGGGCATCCCCCGCAACGGGGGCATCCCCCAGCGGGTCCCCCTCGGCGCCCACCTCGCCAGGGCGGCCAGGGACATCCGCCTCCTCCTGCGCCCTGCTTTCCACGGCCTGGCCGTGGTGGACTGGGAGGAGTGGAGGCCCCTCTGGGCCCAAAACTGGGGGGCCAAGCGGATCTACCGGGTGGCCTCGGAGCAGTGGGTACGGGACCGGCACGGCCTCCTGCCAGCACGGCAGCGGCTCCGGCTGGCCCGGCGGGAGTTTCAGCGGGCGGCACAGGCTCTGATGGAGGAGACGCTTCTCCTGGGCCGGACCCTGCGCCCAGGGGGGCTCTGGGGTTTCTACCGCTTCCCAGACTGCTTTAACAGCAACTGGGCCAAGAAGGCCAACTACACTGGGCAGTGCCGGCCAGCAGAGGTGCAGCGCAACAACCTGCTGGGCTGGTTCTGGGCCGCCTCGGCCGCCCTCTACCCCAGCATCTACCTACCGCCGGCGCTGCCGCCCGCCCTGCGCCAGCGCTACGTGCACCACCGGCTGCGCGAGGCCCTGCGCGTGGCTGCCTTCGGGGCCAACGGCCTCCTGCCCGTGGTCGCCTACTCTCGCCTTTCCTTCCGCCGCTCGCCCCGATTCCTGGAGCTGGTAAGTGCCGCAGGGCCGGGGCAGCAGGCATGCCGGGGGTCCTGCTGGGCGCCAGGACGTGTCCCGTGCCCCCCAGCCCAGTCACGTCTCTCTCTTCCTGGCAGGCTGACCTGGTGCATACCATCGGGGAGAGCGCAGCGCTGGGTGCAGCCGGACTCGTGCTCTGGGGAGACATGTCGTACTCCCGCTCGGCTGTGAGTACGGCCCCTTGCCGCACCGGGGCACTGGAGCCAGCAAATGGCGGGCAGCAGGAGGTGGCATGGGCATGGGACGCACGGGACAGCCACATCCCTTGTGCCTGCTGGGGAGGGGTGGCCGGAGGGACCCCAGTGCCGGGGTGGGTTCTCACTGGTGCTTCCCACCCCCCCAGGAGAGCTGTGCCAGTTTGCGCCACTATCTCATGTTCACTCTGGGTCCCTACGTGGCCAACGTGACGGCGGCAGCCCGGGAGTGCAGCTACGGGCAGTGCCACGGGCACGGGCGCTGCGTGCGCCGGCAGCCCCACGACCTGGGCAGCCTCCTGCACCTTGGCCCCGGCACCGGCCCGCCGGCCTCTTTCCGCTGCCACCGCTACCCCCGCCGGGCCCGGCGCGGG